TGCCACACCGACGTTTAATAATTGAAAAAATAAAAATTATATATACAAGAGCCATGTCAACATGGCCATCCCCGCCGAATGGGTTTGCTCATTAGAAGAATGTATATGTAGTAGAGCAGATAAATCAATTTTAAGAGGCCTTTTGGGAATGAAAACTGATGGCTGAAGTGATTACAGATTTGAAACCTATATGAATACTGATGGCTGAAAATAACAAAGGGCAATAACTGAAAAAATAATGCAGGGTAGGTTATCATTCTTGTGTGCTGCACCCCTCCTCAGTAAAATCTATCAACCTATGAAGTTTCAAGTTGATACCTCAAATACTTTTTGAGATAACTCAAAAATTATGAAAGGTAGAGTTATCATTCTTGTGCACTGCACGCCTCCTGAGTGAGATCTATGCACCTATGAAGTTTTATGTTAATATCTCAAAGGCTTTTTGAGTTATGCTCTAGACAAAAATTAATTTTGAAAAATAACAAAGGGCAATAACTCAAAAGTTATGCAGGGTAGAGTTATCATTCTTGTGCACTGCACTCCTCCTCAATGAGATCCATCCACCCATGAAGTTTCAAGTTGATACCTCAAATACTTTTTGAGATAAGCTCCGGACAAAATAGTATGAAAAAGAACAAAGGGCAATAACTCAAAAATTATGTAGCGAAGACTTACCATTCTTGCCCAAAGCATTCCTCTTCAATAAGATCTTTCCACCTATGACATTTCATGTTGACATCTCAAACACTTTTTGAGTTATGCTCCACTTAGGTGAAAAATTAAGTATGAAAAATAACAAAGGGCAATAACTCAAAAATTACGAAAGGTAGAGTTACCATTATTGTGCACTGCACACCTCCTGAGTGAGATCTATGCACCTATGAAGTTTCATGTTGATATCTGAAAGGCTTTTTGAGTTATGCTCTGGACAAAAATTAATTTTGAAAAATAACAAAGGGCAATAACTCAAAAATTATGCAGGGTAGAGTTATCATTCTTGTGCACTGCACTCCTCCTCAATGAGGTCTATCAACCTATGAAGTTTCAAGTTGATACCTCAAATACTTTTTGAGATATGCTTCGGACAAAAATGTCGGACGGAAGGACGGACGGACGGTCGGACGGAAGGACGGACGGAAGGACAGACGGACGGAGACTATTTCTATATCCCCCGCCGCCTTTCGGTGGGGGATAATAATATATTACACTGGTAGTATTCATAAACAGAGAGAACTTTCCTACATTTTGTGCGACTCAGATATTTTCTTTTTCTTTTAATAGCAAATGGCTTTCTGTACACGTTATGACACATTGAAGTATAAAGTAACCTGATTGTCTTGTAAGGTGGACATGTAAAATGCTTTTAGACTTGTGTGATTCTTCTAAGTTAAGAGAAGTACCATAGACGATTTATCGATGATGAACTACACACAACTTAAGCAGTTTTTTTTGGGGGGGTGGGGGGGGGGTGGGGGATGAAACAATATGTGTTCATGTATTAAGAGTTTCACAAATGTTTATTCTTTGCTTATTTGAATTGCAGCTATGTTTGCACATTTGTAGTAAGTTTGTATCTACACATAATGTATTTCTAAAAATTCTGTCATCGCTAACTATCAGTCATTAATCACCTTTAGCTGACTTGCATTATGCTGAATACAAACAAATCAGTGTAAAAGTTCATGTTCTCAAATGAACATGGTGTTAATGAAATATAACATTCATTAAATTAAAAGTAACTAAGAACAACAAGTAAATATTTGATCGAACTGCTTTTCCGGGGAAACGAATGCTATATCACTGCGCAATTACGCACTAAGCATATTTAATTGACTAAGTGTGCAGCTCGTAAAAAGTCAGGTGATAGATGTATGCTTTATATGTTACTTTTAGTACTAAAATTAAAGTACTTGGTTTAAACATATTTATTTAAGCTCGATTGTGAAACAAGTTCTTGCAACTTATATTAATCACTTTCGAGTCTGCTTCCTGGAACCAACCAGTACTGGTGTCGTATGAAGAAACATGGTATTGACCTGAGTAGGGCTCGAACCCATGATCTCTGGGTTGAGAGGCAGATACAGTCCTTAACAACTAGGCCACCGCCCCCTTAAAGTACTAAAAGTAAAGTGATAAAGAACTGAGGTTTTTTTCTCAGTAAAAATACCTAATTACCTATAAAACAATGAAGGCCTATATAGCTGATTTTGTATAAATGATGGCAAAGTATATAGATATATAAAATAAAATAAATAAAAATAAGATAGTCTCCTCTGGGCTTTGAACTCACACCTTACCCAAACTATGTGTTCTCACTAAAAATGTAGGAGAATTTGCATTAAGCCTTTAATACTTTATTTTCATTTTTATAAAATGTACGCTTATTCTTAGCGGGACCTCTAAGTTTTGCCGTTGTTTTATTAGCTGTTGTCGCAGCAGTAGCAGTACCAGAAGCAGCCACAGGCACAACAACAAGTATATGAATTGCAATGTTGTCGTTGACGTTAAAGAGTATGTTAGGTGGGGGTCAATATTTTACAGATAAAATAGGGGGTCATTATTTTATATACATTTATAAGTGGTCAGTATTTTATAGAAGGGGGTCACTATTTTCTATAAAATAATGACCGGGGGTCATTATTCTATGGGGGTCACTTTACAGCGTTACACTGATTAAATGGGCATATGCAACAAATTCAACATTAAATAGCGTCAAGTTTCATTCGAGTATGTAAAATCTTGCTACTTTATCTATAAAAATACGAAAGGGCGGCACAAGACTTTTAGAACAAATCTTGCATGTCATCAGGTGTCTTTTAACTGGCCCAGACAGGATACCGTTATCCCATTATAAATTTTGAGGTGCATTACATTACTGTTTTAATTTACTTACATTTGTGCCGCGTCACGACAAAACCAACATAATGTGTTAGCGACCAGCATGGATCCAGACCAGCCTGCGCATCCACGCAGTCTGATCAGGATCCATGCTGTTCGCTTTCAGACCCTATAACAAGTAAACAAACCGATAGCGAACAGCATGTATCCTGATCAGACTGTGCGGATGCGTAGGCTGGTCTGGATCCATGCTGGTCGCAAACCCATCATGTTGGTTTTGTCGTGACGCGGCTCATTTTATATTTTTGTGAAGTTTTCGTTTTTGGCCCTGTTACACTTTCCGGGTTCCCATGCATTGATTCGCGTGTGGATTTTGGTTCATGACCATTTTCCTTTAACAAATCCCGATTATTGGTGGTTGTCTTATACTGTTGGTGGGGTTTCGTTTACACAAACAGTAAACGGATATTTTTTCTACGTGTGAATATCTATTTATCTTTTGTTTTGATATGCTGTTTTATTCATTGAAAAGTAAAATTGACAGTGATAAACATTTTTGCTACTTTTTTGTCATGGTTTACCTGTAGGCGTTTTCTTAACTATGGATAGTCGTTTGCACCGTTATAAAGCTGTTTAATCAGATCAAACCATTCATAGGCGATGGCCCTAACGGCATTCCGGAATGCCGTTAGGGCAATCGCCTTTGAATGTGTTGATCTGTAACGCGATAGTCGATAGTACGTTGGTGAAAACGCGAAATCACGAAACTACGATGGTGAAAACACGATAGTACGATGATGAAAACGCGATAGTACGATGATGAAAACGCGATAGTACGATGATGAAAACGCGACAGTACGATGATGAAAACGCGATAGTACGATGATGAAAACGCGATAGTACGATGATGAAAACAAGACAGTACGATGATGAAAACGATAGTACGATGGTGAAAACGCGACAGTACGATGATGAAAACGCTTAATCACAATATTACGATGGTGAAAACGCGAAAGTACGATGATGTAAACACGATAGTTTATTGTATTAACATCATCGTACTGTCGTATTATTGCGTTTTCGTTATCGTACTGTCGTGTTTTCATCATCGAACTGTCGCGTTTTCACCATCGTAGTTTCGTTATTTCGCGTTTTCATCATCGTACTTTCGAGTATCGCGTTTCAGATCAAACCATTCATAGGCGATGGCCCTAACGGCATTCCGTAGTTTACGCCGTTAGTTAGGAAAGTTGTCGCTTAATAAAGCAGTATATGATTTAAATCAATTCAAGGTTTAAAGCAACATTTGAAGAATTGTTGATACAGATTATAAGCAATATTTCTGATGTAAGCTACAAGTTATTTTGACATTTAGTGAAAGAAAATAAAGATAAACATTTTTTTGTGTGTGAGATGTATAGAACATACACTTATTTTGATGTATAAGTAATATTCCATGTTTAAGTATTGATCATTTCATATTTAACTCGGTTAATTAAAAGTTAACTTAACTAAGACTTCCTCAATTGTGTTGTGTTATTAATAGGTATAGCATTACAGCGCAATTTATTGTATTCTTATAAATAAAATATTGATGAAATATGCGTATTTTCATTTTCCATATTTTCACCGTACAAATTTAATTTTCACTGCAGTGAAACATATTTTTCGTATTTTCACTATGTCTTACCGGACTACTTTCTTCTAAATTCACCATATGCACAAAATATTAGTGGAAGTGTTTCTAACTGTAGTGAAAAAAAAAGGAAAAACTGTATGTATAATAAGCAGAAAATTCAGTTTTTCACTAAAAATTCAGGATTTATTTTCATCTTGTTGTATGAAAATTATCATGTTTCACTCGTACAACCGCCAGTCATGAAATCTTTATTTTCATACCACTTGATAAAAAAATAAATCCTGTATTTATATAAAAAAAACAACTTGATTATCCTCTCTATATATTACTTGAAGACAGAGATCTATATATTACTTGAAGACAACGGCGTTGAATGTTATGTTTCATATTGCATACCATACAAAACAAATTAGGCAATACACATTATTTAAACGTTGCTTTTTTGAAAACGATTAGGAGTAGATCGACCCGTTTTAAAAATAGATATCGATTATAAAATATTGTTGTAAACTCTATGGATTGACAATTGTGCATATTGCATAACATGACGGGGTATATGTATTTTTAAAGTATTGTTAGTGGTTGATCAAGAATTATGTACAAATAACCGAATGCCTAGAGATAGAGACAAAAGAGATGGGAATGCATTGTATATATTAGAAGGTAGGTTTATTTCAAATTCCAGTTCTTTTATCTATCATTTTAGTGTGTTTAACATTTGAGGCACATATCCAAGATGGCGGATACTTTTTTTTGTCTGTGCGGCAATATTCTGATGAAAATATATGTCACAAAGTTTTGCAAGCATATCAGGAAAAGTATAAAAGAAACATCTGAAATATATGTACCATACTATATATCGACAAATGATTACCTTAAACATAGTATATGTTAATTATTCAAATATGAAAAAGTTATAAAAAATCCCATAAGCGGTGATCAAATGATAAATGAACAAATATTACGTGATCCACACTGTAATCATGTGTTACGACTTGTTAACGCACAGTAAATATAACCTCCTTACTAAAGTTATATTATATATACCCATATCATGATATAAACATGCATCTATATTATATTAATTTCAAATATGATTTCATTTAATGAAAAAAAATACATAAACATTGACAGTATTCTCTACTGGTAAATACGGTGGCATAGAGGGGACATCAGAAATATTTTATCTATCACGTGCGCACGCGATGGGGGACATCAGAAATATTTTATCTATCACATGCGCACGCGATGGGGGACATCAGAAATATTTTATCTATCACGTGCGCACGCGATGGGGCACGTCAGAAATAGTTTTATCTATCACGTGCGCACGCGATGGAGGACATCAGTAATATTTTATCTGTCAATATTTAAAAAAAATATTTAAATACCACGTGCGCACGCGATAGCTACCACGTGCGCACGCTATGACTACTACGTGCGCACGCGATAGCTACTACGTGCGCACGTACAATTTATTACGTGCGCACGGGATAGCTTTTAATTTCAAACAAGTCATGAATAAGCACTTCCCTGTCCATTTTAGAAATGGAAGGTATTACGTGCGCACGTAGTAGTTATCGCGTGCGCACGTAGTAGTTATCGCGTGCGCACGTAGTAGCTGTCGCGTGCGCACGTATTAGTAGTAGCGTGCGCACGTAGTAGCTATCGCGTGCGCACGTAGTAGCTATCGCGTGCGCACGTGATAGATAAAATATTTCTGATGTCCCCATCGTGTGCGCACGTGATAGATAAAATATTTCTGGTGTCCCCATCGCGTGCGCACGGGATAGATAAAATATTTCTGATGTCCCCCATCGCGTGTGCACGTGATAGATACAATATTTCTGATGTCCCCCATCGCGTGCGCATGTGATAGATAAAATATTTCTGATGTCCCCTCTATGCCACCGTAGGTAAACGAAGGCATTCCAAACCTTTTTTCCAAGCTGACAAATTTTCTAATCTAATGATCAGCTGGTTTTATCTTTTTTTTTTCATCGATTGATGTACAAGAAAATATTATAACAAAGGCTGGTCAAGTTTCCATCGGTCTGACGGTCTTCTACTCTAGATGCAAATGGCTAAAAGTTATAGATATTTGGCCTGAATTTGACTATGAAAATGTTTTCAAAACCGAAATGTTCCAAAGATGCTAAAATCATGACCCTATGGTCAAAATCATTAAATGTACAAGGAAATATGAACAAATGCCCAGTCTGAGGGTCTTCTCCTCTAAATGAAAAAGGCTAAAAATGGGATATTTGGCCTGAACGTGCCTTATTCATCCTCAATCTTGTACGTCTACACCACACAGAATGATTGCGCAAGACACCATTACACACAGCGGTTTTTAATTAAGTATAACTATTTAACGGGGAACAAAACAAAATGTTTGTACAAGAACTATATGCATTCATTAAAAAAAAATTTAATTGAAAGACAAAAAAAAAAAAAAAAACGATAAAGAAAAAAATAGAAGACGGGTATTGTTTACCATAAACCTAACTTTTCTTTGCTTTACAATGGGAGTTGATATTAAATTAGATATTACAAAGTACATGTATTCGTTCTGTTCCATTTGTAAAATTGAATGCTCTATATTATGTTTAATTGTTTAATCTTTTTACCTCTTATTGAATACGCTTTTATAAAAACAATCATTTACGACAGTCAGATACAATTTGTTAACAGAGTCTGTTAAAATAGTGTTTATAATTGTCTTGATATAGGAGTACGTCTGTATATGAAACTATATTGAACACAAAAGAGCGAATAGATGCAATACTTGCGTTCTTGTGCAAATATTACGCCAGTTTGTTTACAAACACAACAAAAGTCTTTATCAGAATATCTTGATTATTGAGCGATATTTTCTTTGTCCCTATATTGTGTAAATTGACATTTTCGATAATGACAATGATAGCGTTTTGATAATTATGCGTGGAAACAATATTTGTTTACTTAAATGATCTCGCAATGCATATCACACCGTATTACCGGCGGCAGTGATGGCAGATCACTGCAGTGATGGCAGATATCTGAAAATTACCGATCGGTACAGGTAGGTTATAAATTTTGTTGGTTTAATTATATTACACAAATACGGCCCATATCATTGCTATAAAACTATTGTCCATTGAATGGAGATACTGTAAGATAATTTTGAACTCGTTTTTTCCTGTTTTAAGACTATTTTGAGCAGGTTAAAAGTGAAAGCCTTAGAAAAAATCCGTGAAAATGTCTGTTTTCTGTTCAAAATATCTCAAGTTTTAAGTAAATGGCAGGATTTCCTGTTATCAATATAGACGTTCATCCATTGGGGTCACACAAGCCAAATATCTACCCCGTGAGTCTTTTCTTGAAAGTTTTACAGACGCTCAATCTTGTCCGGTCGAAGAAAAAATGCTGCCGTTGTAGGCAGATACATATTATAAATGCTGCCGTCGATGGCAGAAATACCACGAAAGTGGCTAACATTCTGACAGAAAATAAAGTTCAATCTTTTATCAATTCCTCTTTTCTTTGCGTCCTTTTAGTCGGAATTGAGACGTTAAACTATCATTTCTAATATTTTCTCAAGATAGAAAAGTTATTAATGCGGTGTGTGCATCGAAAAAAGCTTTTTAGCAACATGCAGTTACAATACAAAAAGTTATGATTTAGTACCACAAAATTTCACTATAAATAGAGAAATGAACATGAAAAACTTCATTTTTCTATATTCATGCATGTGTGCTTGATCTGTTCATATGAATTGAAAGGTCAAAAAAGAGAAAAAGAATATAACAAATCAAAAATTCTAGTTTTTTTCCTATAAATACAGGATTTATTTTCATCTTGTGATATGAATCATCGAAAGGTTCATCTTTATAAGTTGTCATGGTAACAACTAAAATGAATGAAATAATATATAGTTAAATGGGAGCACGTGATGTTAGAACTGTTGTAAATAGTTTAGCATAGTAAATGTAATTCAAAGGCAAACTACAACGCTATTACAAACATGAAAATTTAAAGAAATGAATCCACGTTGTCGTGTTTTTCAAGAACTTGATAATATAGGAAAATATTTGAACTATCAATAATATTATCTTTCCATTTTACATAAACATACATTGTTTTATGATACACTGATGCCAGTTGCGAGGTAAATAGTCTCCCCTTTATTACATATCAATTTAATAATTTATAATCTGCGCCGATTAAGTAAATTTCAGCCTTTATTTGTCATAAAGCGATGAACATTATAATCTCGAGAAAATAATGTCATATGCTAGCAAATGAATATCCAATTACAGAAGTTACTTGCTGTAATATGCAATTGGCGTTATGTCTTAAAAAGGGAGTGCGCTGCTAAACTTAAGATACATATAGTATTGTATGCATGTAACTGACAGACACAACAGATCAAGCACACATGCATGAATATAGAAAAATGAAGTTTTTCATGTTCATTTCTCTATTTATAGTGAAATTTTGTGGTACTAAATCATAACTTTTTGTATTGTAACTGCATGTTGCTAATAAGCTTTTTTTCGATGCACATACCGCATTAATGAAAAAATTCAAAAAATCTACAAAACAGCAGTTTTTCTTCAAAATTATATGTGAGTCCATGTTTTAACATGGAAAAACGCGTTTTTGGGTAATTTCGTTTTCTTTTCATCATTTTCTGTTAACCCATTACCAGATATATACGCCTTTCTACGCCTTTTTCACCCCCCCCATTGTTTTGCTTTCTCAAATGGTGAAAAAATGCCTTATTTAGGCCCCCAAACGCTTGTTTTTGTTTGATAAATGTTGTTAAAAAAATTGACCACTTTTTCGGCGCCCCCCCACCCCCATCCAAAAGATACATCAGGGGGTTGCCAGAAGGGGGATGTGCCCCCTTCTGTTCGGGGGGTTTGAAGGGGGGCTGAGTCCCCCTCATCTCCAAGAAAACTTTGGACTTGTGGGAGGCTAAAAATGGCCCCAGGTCGATCATAAGGTAACGTGTAACCAATGCTGAAAAGCCTTTGACTCTATCTCAATCCATTGAGAAGTGGCAGCACTTTGAAATCAATTTTGATGGAAAAAATAAACGCAAAATAGTGATTTTTGGCAATTTTGAGATGTCCCCTAGTTGCTATGGTAACAGGAAATTTCAGACTGAACATGTTGTTACAAAGGCAATGGTCCAGTCAACATTTGTGCCAAGTTTGATTAGTATTGAAGCAGTTTTTATAGTTTTATAGCAACTTGAACTTGTTACTGGAGACCTTTCAATGAAAACAGCCATTTTTCACAACATGCTCATGGGGTAATGGGTTAATAACTTTTCTATCTTGAGAAAATATTAGAAATGATAGTTTAACGTCTCAATTCTGACTAAAAGGACGCAAAGAAAAGAGGAATTGATAAAAGATTGAACTTGATTTTCTGTCAGAATGTTAGCCACTTTCATGGTATTTCTGCCATCGACGGCAGCATTTATAATATGTATCTGCCTACAACGGCAGCATTTTTTCTTCGACCGGACAAGATTGAGCGTCTGTAAAACTTTCAAGAAAAGACTCACGGGGTAGATATTTGGCTTGCGTGACCCCAATGGATGAACGTCTATATTGATAACAGGAAATACTGCCATTTACTTAAAACTTGAGATATTTTGAACAGAAAAC